TCAGATAGTAATAATCCATCAGTGTATTTACTTGGGAAGGAAATGAATTGGATGCTGGAAAAATCTGCCGCAGCATCGAAATGTTTCCCAAATGGTAGTAGAGATGCGGCAACAGTTGCAGCAGCAACAGCAGCGGCAGCAGCTGCTGCTGCTGCTGCCGCCGCTTCTGCAAATGCAACTCCAACTAATGGCGTAAATAACGGTAATTCTGCAACGGGTTTTCAATTGGCGCGATTATTGTTAGCACAGCTGCAGGCTCAGCGTAATGCTTCATCGATGTTATCCTAAATCGAGAAACCGATAAATTTTGTTGACATTTATTTTCCAGTCAGTTTTACCAATTTCACTTTACTGTTCGATGAGAGTGGCTATTATCATTATTATTGGATCAACTAAAATTACTTATTGATGATATCAAAATTTAGCCATTTGTTGACCTCATCCCAATATCGTATTTGTTTGTTTACATTCAAAATTTACATTTCTAAATAGCAATACTGTCATTACAATTAAAATATTATTCCGGATTTGTTATAGGAAAAATAGATGGGAGAGTTGAAGAATAATATTTGAAATGATATGAAATTGTTAAGTGATATAATGTGAAATTGATTTACATTAATTTTTTGACAATTCAAAATGATTAAAATTCTGAATGTTAAAATTCTAAATATTTGAAATCTGCAATAAATGCTTTTATTTGACAATATTTGGCATGATTTCTAAATCTTTTTAGAATTATGCAGGATGTAAGGGGTAATTTGGTTTTTTTTTTTGTAGATTTCAACAAATGACAGATGGTCGGATTAAGTTGCTTTGCAGACGGGAGCAGTTGTCTTTGTATTTAAAATTGAAGAGTGGAAAAATTATTCAACAGAAAACGATTACTGGTAGCTTTTCGGTAGAGCAGTTATGCTTTGCATGTTATTCCGGTTGTAGCAAAAAAAAAAAAAATCTTCCCTAATTTGTGAAATTTTTTGAAATAAATGAAACAAACAATATATTATCTACTTTATTCATTATTTATGCAAGGCCTTTTTTTTTTTAAAAAAAAAAGTGTATGTTACAGTCCAGAGATCTCATCGAATTCCAATTTTTCTTTTTTTTTTTAATAAATTTCTTTCGTTATCACACAGGTATATAATTTTTTTTTTTTTTAGTCTAGCAATACTGATGAATGAAAATAATTGGTGAAAATTAAATTTTAATTATAGTCTTTATAGATATAGCATAAGTTTCACTTCAGGTGTTTTTCCCTTTTTTTTTCTGTTATCTTCACTATTTTTTCTTTTTACTATCAAATAAGTTCAATTGAATGAATTTTTGAATATTTTTTCTAGGATTTTTTCCTAAAAGAAAACTTTCCATATATTTTTTTTTTTTTATGAAACCATAATTTTTGAAGCGGAAAATTGAATTTTGTGTGTGATATATACAGATATATGTATATTGACATAAAGGGGTGATAATAACGGCGACAACGATGAAGCAGTATGTGTCTATTTTGATGATAGGCTAAAAAAGAAAAAAAAAGGAAGGGGAGGAGGAAGGTTGACAATGTTTTCTTTACATTTGTAATACCTATCTGTTCATTCTTTTTTTTCTTCTTCCTCCCTCTCTCTCTCTCTCTCTCATTCCATCTTTCTCTTTTTCATTTTTTTAAAATTAAAACTATCACAATAATTTTCTCATTTTTTTTGTCTCCCCCCATTTCCGTATTTTCATTTCAGGAAGAGAAATGAACGAATGCAGAGCAGCATTTTCAATCATTCTTTTCAAAATATTTGCTTTTTTTCTTTTTTTTTTGTTCATTTTTCACAGAAAATACTATTCCTACTGTATTCTCTTCATTTTTCATATTTTCTCGTTTGATACAGGAATATTTGCATTTTTAATTTCATTTACATAAATAAATAAAGCTTTTTTCTTCAGTTTTTATTTTATGTGATTTCATACTTTCTCTTTCTCTCTATCTTTTCCTTTTTTTTTGTCTTTGCTTTTTTTCCCTTTTTTTTTTATGATTTTTTTCCTTTTTAAAATTCATTCATGAAAATGCTTGATTAAGTGAGAAATGTTAGCAAAAAAAGAGAAGTAAAATTGGAAATATATGAAATATGAAATAAGATACTATGGATAAAGGTTTTATCGGTATTTCTGAAATTTTTTTCTTCACTCTTTCGCTTTTCTTTCCTTCTTTCATTCCATTCTTCCTTCCTATTTTTTATTCTTTATTTTTATTTATTCATCGACAAATATTCAAATGAATATCCCATTTTGTTTCACTCTCGCCTTCCTCTTTTTTTCCATTTCAAGAAAACAAAAGAAAAGAATTTTTTTTCCACTCTCACTCACTCTCACTCACTCATTCACTTTCTCTCCCTCTTCACTTCATTTTACATTTTCAAACAAAGGAATTGAAAATGAAGAATTGAAACTACTTTGTATTTTATTTGATGCGAAAAAAAAAATTGAAAAAGAAGTGATGGAAAGGAAAGGAAAGTAGGAAGAAATGAAGAAAAAATAAAGAATGAAAATCTGTTTAGGGGCAATTGCTACCGTAACTTTGGTTCTTTTATTTTGTTAAAAACAAAATTTGATCAANTTATACAATTTATTAATAATTTAAGTTTCATTTTTTGCNCCATTTAAATGATGTTTTTATGACATTATATAAAGTTTATGAGAAAATTTTTTTCAAATAAAAACGTGATTTTTCTTTTTAAACGCTATTAAATTTTTTTCAAAAAATTAGTAATAATGTGAAATTTGAAAAAAAAAGAAAGAGAAAAAGTTCTTCATGCTTCCTTTTTATATGAGAATGAACAAGCGAGTACGGTAAGTGAAGTTTGTGAAAAATGTATTTTGAGTGTCTGTGTGTGTGTGTATGTGTATGTGTGTATGTGTGTATGTGTGTGTGTATATGTAACGACCAATCATTTAGTGTGTGCAGAGTGAAAAAGAAGATGAGAAAGAGTGTGAATGAATGATTGGCGAATGAAAAAAGATGGGAGAGAAATTTTCAATTTCAGCTAAAACTTTCAAACGAACAATCTCATTTTCAAAAACTTTTAAAGATGAAGTATACTGTGGGCAATCTTTTTCCACCAATAATATTTTTCCTTCTTTTTTTTTTCTTTTTTTCTTCATTTTGGAAAAATTTCGGGAATTTGATAAATGCATGAAATTTAAATGAATAATCGAATAGCATTGTTTATTAAATGTAAATTTGATTAATTGAAATGTTTTTATCATTTATTTGCTGTTTGCTTAAATTTTTTTCAATTTTTTTTTGTGGCTTTCTTCCTTTCTTTCTTCATTGATCGCTCATTTTTTGCTTGGAAAGCATTTTTTGTTTGGAAAAAAAATGTTATTTTCAAAACAAGAAAAAAACAAAAAAAAAACCTGCAACAATACTTACATTCACTTTATCATTAATATACATACCATTATTATCATATTATCATGAAATTATTTTATCTCATCGATAATATATGTATCTGTGTTACAATTTTAAATTTAATAATTTTGAAAAACACATTGAAAAAATTTATAGCTTTTTAAATGTATCCTTTTTTTTTCTCGCAACATATCACTTTTCAAATGTCTTATATTGTTGCGCAGGGGTGCTTTTCATTTTTTTTTTTAAATTTTTTGTCTCTTGAAATTGTATTTCTTTGCATTTGTTTTTAGGAATAATTATTTTGCTGAAAAAATTTTCATCTCTTCTTTTCTTCATTTTAATGATTATATTTGCAATATGTGTACAGCATTTTTACTTTGCTTTCTTTCTTTCTTTTTTTTTTTGACAAATACTCTTTTTGTTGTTTCATCTTTTTTTGTCTTCAATTTGTTTTTTTTTCCTTGATTATGAATGCAAAATATATAAAATGTAGTATTTTTGACATATCAATTTTGTTGTTTATTATTATTTTTTTCTTGCATTTGAACATTTATGAATGAATGAAATGAAAATATTCCAATAAAATTTTTATGCATTGAAATATCTCTATTGTTTTACTTTAGCATTTTAAATTAGCACATTTAAAGAAATGTTAAACAAGGGTAAAAATTTGTAATTAAAAGATAAAGGTGACATTTTTTGTTTTGTTTCTATTTTTGTTGTTGTCATTATTGTTACTGTTGTTGTTGTTGTTGTTGTTGTTGTTATTGTTTTAATCGATTACATAAAATAAGAACACAAACAGAATTAAAAATATCACCGTTTTTTTTTCCGTTTTTTATTTTATGAAATGAAATTAAGATTTGTTAGTTAAGCAGTTTAGTGACGTAAAAGTTAATTATTGGCTTATTTGGAAGGGCAATTGATGTGTGTGAATATTAGCCTGTCCCCGATATATATATGTATATATATGTGCATGTAAAATATTTGCTTCGAGGTCGTTTGGGTCGTATCCAATCTCATATATAGTGGAAGCGCAGATTGAATTAGACCGCTACACAGCTGTTACCATATTGAAGGAAATAAAAGTGGAATTAAGGGGAGGCAATGATTGAAGAAGTTATTTGTAATTTTTAACTGAAATGCAAATGTAACTGAAATGATAACAATAAATAGCAAAATGATGATAAGAATTTTCTTAAAAATGAAGGGAAAAAAAAAGAACGAAATATGAAAAAAAAAAAAAAGGATCAACTTTCGAAAAAAAGATTTCTAGAAAGAAGAAAAGAAATAGAATAGATAATACTTCTTAGTTTGAGGAAAAAGAGTAGAAGTGATTTTTACTGAAAATCTTTTTTGCTTTTTTTCTTACTCGAAAGTAATACTGTTTTGAATAATTGTGAGTGAAATAATTGATTGGATAATGAAATATGCAGTGAAATGAAATTATTTTGAATGCTATGTGGAAATTGACATTTTCGATATATT